CCCACACCTCGGATACATTTAATCGATTCTAGCCGGAGCAGCCAAATGCAAGTGTCTACCGAAAAATTGCATGCCACCGAATGTTTCCATGAGATGAAACTCGCTGATCAGTTGTACACACTTTTAGTCCGGTCCACCTGTATAAAATGTGTATTCTGGTCAACCAGTGTTGTAGATGCCGTTCATTATGTTTAATGTGCACGCGTCCGGTTTTTATTCATCTTTGCCCTCCTTCATTTGTTACATTTTTTCCCGACCACTGATACTGTTAATTCTGACTATGTGGTTCGGTGAGCGAACAATTGTTTTTGGATATTCCTAAACATGCTCTTACATACCATATAGTTCAAAAATGGTTACATAATGATAGCCATTGGCTCAGTTCAAGGTCATCAATCGAGGTAGAGAGTGAATGATGTGAATGTGTGCGTGTCCGTGTGTATATATATGTGTGTTTGTAAGAATGTTTAGTGTGATAATTGATGTGACCTTTCCCCACTTGGGTCAAGTGACACGTCATGTTCTTCTATCTTGGTTTTCACAACCGGCCAAGTCAATCGGACCGCTTGAACCAGTCTTTTTGGGGCACACAGGTTGGGGCCTAGGAAGCGAATGACGATCGCCTCGGCCATAGCTAGTGTCCAAACTCGGTCCGCCCTCGATCGAATGATTGGAATGTAATAAACCACACCGAAAGTTTTCTGCGGTTTGCTCTTGTGCCTGTTATCGACGAGATGACCCAGGATCGCGCTTGAAATACAGCCGGTTTTTCCCTGTCTTAACTATCCCGGGTGGTGCTCAATAACGCGTTGAGACAAACGCCTTACCGTACGACCTATGTAACATGCGTCACAGACGCACTTCAGTGTAAATCTCCATGGATGAGGTCAGTTGCGGCAGTTTGGCTTCCACTTGCATTTGCATCACCGGTGATGTAGAGAGCATTGGTCTAACGTTGGCTGCGGGGAAAGTGGAATTTACAGCCATTCTCAGTGACTGTACTAGGGTTTCTGTGTGTCAGTCTCCCTTAAATGAGATCCTTATGAATAGTTCATTCATGGGGACACAAATGATATGTTCCTTCTCCGTACTGAGTCGAAGATTCTTATCGATGAACTTTTGCTGGTAACCATTG